ATTTATCAGCACAAATAAAACATATATATCGTCACATATGGGGATAGAGTAAGATTGGCTAGATTTTCCGCTGTATTCTGTTTAGGGTGAAGAATTCTACATTAAAATTTACACTATAGTTGCATGATTTCCAGTTCAAAACTGAAGGAAATTGTACTACTGCTTTTTTTGGAAATCAGAAGAGACCCACAAAAGGGAATTTAAAGATTACTTGTGGTTTTAAGGCAGTTTCACAGATTACATTGATTCCTCTGTAATCTTGTGTTGCTGATCCCGATCATGTTTGTTATTTGCATCAGAAGATTTTTTCCCCACCCAATTATTCTGATACGTTATCATACAAATCCAGATACATACCACGAAGCCCCCAGGAAACATTTTATAATGCAAAGCCTTACTTACATACGTGGATTTCCTTTTGGGATTAACACATTGGTTCCATGAATTTATGATGTTATTTGATGTGCTGATACGAAACCATTTATCAAGCACCTTTTGATAAATGCAAAAGTTGATACAGCGGATGGAGGCAACTTTTCTAGGGTGCCTACTGTATGTTAATATCATGAAATAGTTTATCTCCATTTCATTCCTCAGCTTGTAGGTTTCTCTTGAAAAACTTATTCAAATACTATTCAGAGTCATCTGTCAGCTGACTCAAAATATGCTTGTTTGATGTTTAAAAGGGAAAAAAAGTGCCATTTATTATTTATAAGTGCATAAACATGATACGGCTATTTGTAAGGCTGAGAACACTTAGAAACTGTTTGCCATAATGTTAGGTTTCTCTGTAATATTTTCAAGAAGAACAAAAGAGCTATTCTTCAATTTACAAGTGTCAGAGATATCTAGCTGACGTTGCAACATGGAATAAACCAAACCCAGGATAAATTATGGATAAGATTTTTCTCATTCTCCAAATGCTAAGCTTTTTTTGTTTTTTACATATCTAAAATGCATAACATTTTCTGGACCAAGAACCAAATATTTAAAATAGAATGGTCTGTTTTCTACAGGAATCAAAATCCATTTTTATAAACCCCTAATTCCCTTGAATCCTGCACTGTATTCCAAAAAAACCCAAAATTCCTTGAAAATGTAACACGTGATTTTTTTCCCCCAAGGCAAGTACAAGTAATCCTTGACTTACAACATTCAAAGTTACAGTGGCATTGAAAAAAGTCACTTATGACCATTTTTCAGGCGCCACCATTACAGCGTCCTCCGTGGTCATGTGATCAAAATTCAGACCCTCCCTTGGCAACTGATTCATATTTATGACGGGGGTCATGGGATCCCCTTTTGCGACTTTCTGATAAGCAAAGTCAACGGGGAAGCCAGATTCACTTAACAAAGGTGGAACTAACTTAGCAACTGCCGTGATTCGCTTAAGAACTGTGGCAAGAAAGGTCGTAAGACGGGGCGAAATTAACTTAACTGTGTCGTTNACGCGAGATTCCCACTGAAGAAATAAAAAATAAATAGAAATAGTTAAAAAAAAACCTGGTTAAACAATACAACAGAGTGTTGGATCATCAGCAGAAGCAAAACTAAGTTGGGGAGAGGGGAGTGTACCCTTAAAAAAAAGTTTGGCTCAAGTCTTTAAGAGAACCGAGCTGGGCATGCTCTGTAGAGGCCTCTCTCTCACCTCTGAGATCTCCTCTTTGGCTTGCTGAAGTTTGTCGGGCTTGTTGGCCCATAGAAGCCTGGCCTCAGTTTCCCGTTTCTTCTGCAGCGTGACCTGGGCATCTTGCCAACGCTGCCAAGCCTTCATTCTCTGGTCAAAGGCACCCTGGAGGGAGAGAGAAATTCATTGCTGGAAGCCTCTGATCATCCATGGGGAACTGAGCTCACACCAGTGACAAAAGTCAAGGGCAAATAGCAATAGCACTTAATAGCAATAGCAGTAGACTTATATACCGCTTCATAGGCCTTTCAGGCCTCTCTAAGCGGTTTACAGAGTCAGCCTCTGGCCCCCAACAATCTGGGTCTTCATTTGACCCACCTCGGAAGGATGGGAGGCTGAGTCAACCTTCAAAAAATGAATTTCACTACAGTGGCATAGCCCCCACCCACCACAATGGCTGAGGAGCTCTGGTGAAGGGGGTGAGGTTTCGGGATGCAAAAGATTGCTGTATTCAGTGTATAAGACACACCCAGATTTTCACCCTCTTTTCTGAGGAAAAAAAGTACATCTTATACTCCGAAAAATATGGCACTTGCATGCAAAATGGGCTGTGTGGGGACTCCTGGGAGGGACGGGCGGGGCCAGCCAGAAGTGGGATTTGGGGCTTCTCCGAACTGCACAGAATCTTAGCTAGAGGTTCTCTCGAACCCCTGCAAAACCCCCAGCAGCCCCACCCCTGCCTTCGGCGAGACCCCAGCAGCCCTTACCCTCACGGCGGCCAGGAGACGGATGTAGTCGCTCAGCAGTTCCGCCAGGAGAAAGAAGTCGCTGTTGGCCTGTTCCTGGTGCAGCTGCTCGATCTTCTCTTCCACCTCGGCCAGCTGGGAAAGGGCCCGAGACAAGGCCGTGTTGTCCTCCGAGCTGCCCAGCATGGCCAGGCTCTTGGCAAACTGAGAGGTATTCAGCGACAGTTCTGGAGGGCGGAAAAAAGGGGAGCCTGAGAAGATTGGCACTTCCCTGCCAGCGACACGGAAATCCAGCAGGAAAAAAAAAGGACTCTCCAAAGACACAACATCGTGAGGAGGAGATGCAAGATGCCAGATGAGAAACGCCACCAAATCTGAACATTGGAACCTCCAAATCAGTCGCTGTTCATTCTCCAGCTAAGGTTGCTGGCAATTAAGAGCCGAGTTCCCCTGCCTTTATAAAGTAAACCCGGGATTTTATTTATCTACTAGCTTGATAACCTGGCATTGCCCAGGTATTTATTTATTTATAGGGGGAAAATGTGCGGACCAAACATGATTTCTAATGTTGGATTTTCCCCCTTACTAGAGGGAGCCTCCTTGTGGAGTATTGTAAAGCCGTTACCATGTCAACTCCACTGTGCTGTACAGTAGAAGCCATTTTACGGCAGTACGGGAGAAGCCATTGAGAGGCACAACAGGCTGTATCTTAACAGAACACACACCCTGAGAGGTATTAGGGGTGTCTTACCCCCACAGTGTTTTTTTTCCAGAGAGTAAGTTATCTGTGTACCAAGTTTGGTTGAAATTGCTCGAGGCATTCCAGAGTTATGCTGGAACACACACACTTTTATATATATATAAATTAATTGAATTTATATAGCCACCCAACTCACATCTAAATGACACCAGTGGCAAACATTTTTTTTTAAAGTTACCTTATAATAAAAAGCATTATAAAAACCCAAAACATCCCACTCTTCATGGCAGCAACAACATAATAAAACCAGCCATTTGATTGGCTCTAATCCATTCAGGGTTCCCAAGCCCACTGACTAAATCACATTTTTAGGGCCTTTTAGAAAAGTAATGGGGAAGTGGGAGGAACCATATCATAAAGAGGAATGATGGTTTATACGGTAACAATAATAGCTCTGAAGACTTATTATACCGCTTCACAGTGTTTTTACAGCCCTAAGCAGTTTACAGAGTCAGCGTATTTGCCCCCAACGATCTGGGTCCTCATTTTACCGACCCCAGAAAGATGGAAGGCTGAGTCAACCTTGAGTCAATCAGGATCAAACTCTTAGTTGTGGGCAGAGTTAGCCTCCAAGCCTTCTAACCACGGAGAAGGAAGGAAGGAAGGGAGGAAGGAAATAGCACTTAAGACTCATATACCGCTTCACAGTGTCTTACAGCCCTCTCTAAGCGGTTTACAGAGCCCGCCTATTGCCCCCAACCATCTGGGTCGTCCTTTTACCGACCTCGGAAAGATGGAAGGCCGAGTCAACCTTGAGCCGGTCAGGATCGAACTTCTGGCAGTGAGCTGAATTAACCTGCAGTACCGCATATTTTAACCACAGTGCCAAAGGGACCACCACCGAGAAGGCCCTCCCTTCCTTCCTTCCTGGTCACACCAGATGACAATCCCTAAATCATAGGACTCGTGACGTGACGTGCTTTCGTCTTTAAGTCGGACATTCTTAACCTGAGGGCTCAACCTGTTCTCAACTCAAGGTCCCAGATGCAAATCTTGAGTTTTTGTAAAGCTGAAAGGTGACCCACCCCCCCTACAGTTATGCAACTCCCACTTCGTCTTCGGGGATACCTTTTCTGTGAGTGACGAGCATCTCGAGAACTGTGTGTAGCTTCCGCAGACGTTGCTCCTCGCATTCCACCTCCTGGAGCTTCTCTTCAAACCACTAGAAAGGAGAGATGGGGCGGAGAACGAACCCCCCCCCCCCAAACAGGTCATCGTAGGAAGAGAACGGTGATTCAGACAATCCCAGGCAACCCAGTTCAGGGACGCAAGATAACAGAATGGTTTCATAACGTATCAAGAAAGGCCCAGCGGCTTACAATGTCCGATTCGTTCATCTTGATGGTCATTTTGCTGACCGCATCCGTCGCCCTGTTGAACATCTTCAGGAGCCCGGCTCCACTCAAGGTTTGCGTGCCAAAAGCGCGCGGCAGCTGAAAAAGAAGTCGGGAAGGAAAATCAACCAGTGTGCGTATATAGTAAATTACCGTATTTTTCAGCATATAAGGCACGCAATTTTGAAGAGACAAATTTTTTAAAGTTTTTTGCACTGCATGTATGTTTGTATGTTTATTTCATTTGTATGCCGCCCTTTTCCCCCGAGGGGGACTCAGGGCGGGACCGAGGGGGACTCAGGGCGGCTCACAACTCAAAACAAGGGAAGGGGGGATACAAACAATTTGACAACAACACAAAACAATACATAATTTAAAAGCACAACAATCT